TTGTATGGATACTGCCTCCACTACCTCCAATTGCTCCACCCTTTCCCGACAACTTTTATGGCTGAAGAAAAAACGGGCCAATATCCCCGTGGCTCGTCCCGAGTTCTCCCAACTTTTAGTTGTGACCCCTATCCCCCCTGTCAATTCCTCTCATATTTTATGTTACCAAAAGTCCCCCCCTTTTCCCCCTTCTTTTCCCGTGTTGTCAGGGTTTAAACCATCACCTCTCCTCCCTAGGACAAACCCCTTTAGTTCCGGGCTAGTCTTGGGTTTAAAACCTTTGCACTTTCTCTAAATTTTTTGACGTGGTTTTAAACCCTGTTGGGTTCCAAACGGTGCGCAAAACATCAATATTTAGCCTGTCCTTTTCTTACCAAACGCCCCTATGCTGGGAGCGTTAACCAAATAACTGCTGCTGCGCCTGCGGTGTGTTTTTGTGTGTGTACTTGCCTAAATTGGGACTCGCCTCCTCTTGTGGTTGCAGGGTTTTTGAATCCCCAGGGGTCCCTTTGGGCCCCCCTCTTCACTGGTCGCTACTAGGTCTAAAACCCCCTACTTTAAAACTAGGGTTTTAAACCAGCCTCCAAAAGCATTAAACCCCTAGATTTTTTTCCACTTTCCTGACAACTCAGTGGTTTAAGAAAAACTTCCTAACAACCTGCACTCATCTGAGTTTTCAACTTCCCCGTTTGAAACCCTTTCCCTTTCTGGGTCACATCCTGAACATTCTGTACCTTTGACCAAGTCAATTCCTCCCCCGTAATTTTTATACGCCCCTCCTTTCCTTTGATGAGTGAGGATTCAATTATGTTCCTTTCCATAACATAACTTTTGGGTACAATGACTTGAGGTGCTGCCCATTCATGCAGATGTCTGCAAGTACTAACGTGGTTAAAGATTGCATTTGACTCCTGAGCCATCCTTACTGAGTAATGATATTAGGCTAATCTGGTTTCAAGTGGTTAACCTGTCTGCCCGACCTATGGAAGAAAGCATAGTGTGCATGAGACCTTGTAAACACCGACAACAATGTTGGATGGTTCATTCATCAACTTCTGCTTCACTCTCCCAATGCTCTTGAAGACAATATTTATAGTGAGCTTTTAATTTTCCCTCCTATCTATTGCTGTCTTGCAACATTGCATAGCTCCTGATGCACGAAATTGCAAAAGATCTGGAGGTAATGACTTCCATCCGTAAGTGGCTTTTTCTGTATGTGCACACACACACACACACACACAAGACAAGGTGGACAAAGACGGGATGTTCCAGAGAAGGGACACAGACACAAGAGGTCACAATTGGAAGTTGAAGACCCAGATGAATCAAAGGGATGTTAGGAAGTATTTCTTCAGTCATAGAGTAGTCAGGCCGTGGAATAGCCTAGAAAGTGACGTAGTGGAGGCGGGAACCATGCATAGTTTTAAGGCGAGGTATGATAGAGCTCATGGGGCAGGGAGAGAGAGGACCTAGTAGCAATCAGCGAAGAGGCGGGGCCAGGAGCTGTGACTCGACCCCTGCAACCACAAATAGGTGAGTACAAATAGGTGAGTACAGTAATTGTGGTTGCAGGGGCGCGACTCATCTCGTGGCCCCACCTCTTCACTGATCGCTACTAGGTCCTCTCTCTGCTTCCTGAGCTCTGTCATACCTCGTCTTAAAGCTATGGATGGCTCCTGCCTCCACTACATCACTTGCTAGGCTATTCCACTTCCTGACGACTCTATGACTGAAGAAATACTTCCTAACATCCCTCTGACTCGTCTGAGTTTTCAGCTTCCAATTGTGACCTCTTGTTTCTGTGTCCCCTCTTTAGAACAACCTGTCTCTGTCCACCTTATCTATTCCACGCAGTATTTTGTATGTCGTTATCATGTCTCCCCTGACCCTCCTGTCCTCCAATGTCGTCAGTCCGATTTCCCTCAACCTTTCTTTGTAGGACACACCCCTGAGCTCCGGAACTAGCCTTGTTGCAAACCTTTGCACTTTCTCTAATTTCTTGACGTGCTTGACCAGGTGTGGGTTCCGAACTGGTGCTGCATACTCCAGTATGGGCCTGATGTACACAGTGTACAGTGTCTTGAACGATTCCTAAGTTATCGGAATGCTATTCTCGGGTTTGCCAGGCGCCCATATGCTGCAGCAGTTATCTGGTTGATGTGTGCCTGCGGAGACATGCTCGGTGTTATGGTCACCCCAAGATCTTTCTCCTTGAGCGAGGTTTGCAGTCTTCGGCCACCTAGCCTATACTCTGTCTGCAGTCTTCTTTGCCCTTCTCCGAACTTCATGAAATTGCATTTGGCAGGGTTGAATTCAAGAAGCCAGTTGCTGGACCATGTGTCCAGCCTGTCTAGGTCTCTTTGAAGTCCTGCCTGATCCTCATCTGATTTAATTCTCCTCATTAACTTCACATCATCTGCAAACAGGGACACCTCTGAGTCTATCCCTTCCATCATGTCATTCGCATATACCAAAAATAGCACTGGTCCTAGGACCGACCCCTGTTGGACCCCGCTCGTCACAGGTGCCCACTGTGATACCTCATCCCATACCATGACTCGTTGTTGCCTCCCTGTCAGGTATTCTCTTATCCATTGCAGTGCCCTTCCTGTTATACGCGCCTGTTCCTCTAGTTTCTGCACTAGTCTCTTGTGAGGAACTGTGTCGAAGGCCTTCTTGCAGTCCAAGAAAATGCAATCAACCCACCCCTCTCTCTCGTGTCTTCTGTAACTTTGTCATAAAACTACAGGTTTGTGACACAGGATTTGCCTTCCATGAATCCGTGCTGGTTGTCGTTTATAATCTTGTTCCGTTCCAGGTGCTCCACCACTCTCCTCCTGATAATCTTCTCTATGACTTTACATACTATACACGTCAGTGACACTGGTCTGTAATTTAGTGCCTGTGTGTGTGTGTGTGTGTGGTGTCGAATAGGTAAAACTTTCGATTTTGGCTTAAATATCAACACACTTCTTTCTGAACAAAGCAAGCAAAAATTTGTGCATGCAATAATTTCGCAAAAATCATTCTGAACCTAACGAAAAAAAATATATTTCATTGTGTTTGTTTATTAAATTATTGTAAACTTATCTAAAATATATTTAGTTGAATTAGGCTATATTAAATTGTGCTTGTTATAATAAGGTTAGGTAAGTTTTCTAAGGGTCTTTTGGTACAAAATTATTAATTTTTAAATTAACAGAATGAAAAATATATATCTTTAAACGTATAAGAGAAAATTTTAGGACTTAATTTTAAATGAGTTCTTGCTAATTGACCAATCTTACCTATTCGGTACGACATATATATAATGTACACATACACACATCGACAGGTGGAAGTCATGCCAACAGGTTAGGCAAGCGTAGAATTCCTGTATCTCAGCTTGGCACTCATACAACCGAGTGTCCAGCTGAGAAATAACCCAGATTCCAGCAATCCTCGTAATCCTGCTAACTGCCCTGATAATGCAGTTAGTAGGATTATCACCGACCTTCTTCAAGGTCACCTTCAGGGTATACCTGAGGTATCAACGTTATCACTAACCTGCTTCAAGGTCACCTTCAGGGATACCTGAGGTATCAATCTGCTTCAAGGTCTCATTCAGGAATACCTGAGATATCAACGTTATTAATGACTTGCTTCAAGATCACTTTCAGGGATACCTGAGGTATCAACGTTATTACTGACCTAATGAACCATTACGCCTGGAGGAAGGGCTGGAAGGGGGCTGGATAGAAAGCTGGATGGAAGGTTGGAAGAGGGCTAATCAGCAGGTTGGATGGAGGGCTGGATGAGGGGCTAAACGGATGTATGGTTAGATTTGTTTGATGAATGGCTGGACGACCGGATGGAAGGTTGACTGAAGAGTTGGATGAGGGTCGAGTGGAGGGCTTGAGGGAGGGCTGGGTTGAAGGCTGGGTGGAGGACTGGGCGAAGGACTGAGTGGAGGACTGAGTGGAAGGCTGGGCGAAGGACTGGGTGGATGATTTGTCAGTTAGGTTTGAATGAATGGTAGCGTAGTTGATGTGCTATGGTTGGGTGGATGGTAGCGTAGTTGATGTACTATGGTTGGGTGGATGGTAGTGTAGTTGATGTACTATGGTTGGGTGGATGGTAACCGTAGATGATGTACTATGGGTGGATGGTGGGCGTGTTGATTTTTACTATGGTTGGGTGGATGGTAGCGTAGTTGATGTACTAATGGGTGGATGGTAGGTAGTTTGATGTACTATGGGTGGTTGGTGCGTATTTGAGGGTATATGGGTGGATGGTAGCGTAGTTGATGTACTAGGCTGGTGTGGATGGTAGTGTGGTTGTTTGTACTATGGTTGGGTAGATGGTAGTGTAGTTGATGTACTATGGTTGGGTGGATGGTAGCGTAGTTGATGTACTATGGGTGGATGGTAGCGTAGTTGATGTACTATGGGTGGATGGTAGTGTGGTTGATGTACTATGGTTGGGTAGGGATTGGTAGTGTAGTTGATGTACAATGGTTGGGTGGATGGTAGCGTAGTTGATGTACTATGGGTGGATGGTAGCGTAGTTGATGTACTATGGCTGGGTGGATGGTAGTGTGGTTGATGTACTATGGCTGGGTGGATGGTAGTGTGGTTGATGTACTATGGTTGGGTAGATGGTAGTGTAGTTGATGTACAATGGTTGGGTGGATGGTAGCGTAGTTGATGTACTATGGGTGGATGGTAGCGTAGTTGATGTACTATGGTGGCTGGGGGGATGGTAGCGTGGTTGATGTACTATGGCTGGGTTGATGGCTTGGTACTACAGTTGAGTGGGTAGTATGGTAGTTGATGTACTAAGATTGGGGGAAGAGTGCCGCAGTTTTAAGTACGAATAACTATGACTCACGAAATCGTAAAATAACACGAAATGTAAAAAGTAAAAAACGTACTCAATAATGTATTCAATTCCAGCCCAGAAAGTAGCAGCAGCAGGTGTAATAACCATAACAAACTTGGTAGTTCCATGTGTTCACTGACCTCTTTGGTGGAAGGCAGAGACGAGCTCGTCGAAGTCAGCCATGGTGCCGAAGATGGGGTTGATGTCTGTGAAGTCAGAGATATCATAGCCGAAGTCCTTCATGGGCGAGGTGTACACTGGACTGATCCAGACGGCGCCCACACCCAGCTCGGCCAGGTAGTCCGCCTTAGACATGATGCCTGAGGAGGAGCGAGGAGACTCAGAGAATAATGAAATGAAGGGGCAATATAGAGAATGTAAGGAATAAATGAAATTGAAGATAAGGTAGAGGAGAGAGAGAGAGAGAGAGAGAGAGTGTTGGGAGGGTGTTGGCACCTGGAGAAGAAGTTGATATCCTTGGGGTGAAATTTGACTCCAAACTAACCATGAAGAACCATGTTGTAAATCTTGCAAACAAGGCAGTCAGGAAGCTTGCAGCACTTCGCCGTATCTCGCATCTGCTTGACAGTAGGGGTTGCAAGATTCTGTACGAGGCACAATTTACGCTCACACCTTGATATGCTCCACTTTCTTGGTTTCCCTTGCCCCCCCCCCTCTCATCTACGACTGCTAAACGAGTAGAGAACAGAGCAAGACGTCTCATCTCTCGCCTGGACCATCCTGGATAGATCAGTCATTTCAGCAGAGCCTTCAACATAGGAGGGATGTGGGTGGCCTTACTGTTATGTACAAGGCCAATACCGTCAAAGTACCACACTGGAAATTTACTTCGAGGACAGCGTGAAATAAGCTTTTATGTCAAAAAGACGGGCAGAAAGCAGCAACTTCACTCTGGCTGTACCCCTTCTCCAGAACATCACTCCATCTGAGATCATATATACCCAGGATGACTCGAGTATGGAATACATTCGTACAGCATAATGATGTCAACGAGATAGTCAGTTGATCACATGAAAATGCTGGCCCACAGATGGCTCCAACTTCATCCTGTTCCCTACTTGTATGTCTCATAACAATAAAAATGCTTTCAAATGAGCTGATGTAGGTAACAGCTCTTAGCTTGCCAATAAAGTTAGGAATTCTTAACCTGTAAAAGCTTGTCAATAAAACTAGGGATCCTTAACCTTGTCAAACCCTGTGTAAAAAAGAAAAAAGAGAGAGGATGACGTTACTGTTACATCCGCATCAGCTATAATATGGATTAGAGTGGGTGCACAGTAGTGTACTGCCTGAGACTCAAGTTATTAGCACCCACACCTCTCAGCTTCCCACTCAGCATACATCAGCTCCAGTAAACAAGCTCAGCGATGGACACCACAAACCAACATCGTGTTTCCTTGTCCCGTCAACTGAAAGTGTATATATCTTTAATTTCTGTCATCGACCGGTAATAAGTAAATAAATCAAATACATAATTAAATAAAATATATAAATAAGTATATGAATAAATTAATAAATTATTAATACTGAGGATGCCATCTCTTAAGATGACTGGTGCCTCAGTTTTGGAGAAGGGATGACTAGGCACTCAAGGTCACGTGATTATTAGGTATACAGAAGGAATACCTATATGTGATTGATTTTTTCCTTTCTCCGCATTATCGGTTATAATTTGAGAATTACTGTTCCTCCTCCAAATTCCTGTTTCTTCTCCTCCTTTTTCTCTATCTCTTATAATTTCTCTTGTCTCTCTGCTCTGAGATAATGGAAAGATATTAATTTAAACTGAATTTCTTCTCTGTATGGGATAGGTTATCCTGAGAGATGGTAATTCCCAAGTGATAGTAACTCCAGCTCTGCAGGAACGAAATCTTTGACGCTGCCGTAGCTGATGAACTCAGGAATATCTAACATCTTCATCACCCCACTGATGTCTCTAATCTCAGGCTGGCACATTTCAACACTTGTATGAGCATCCTGCATGATGCAATGTTACAGGAAAATACAGTTACCCTTTGTTGTCACTGTGTAACTATCATATAGAACAGGGAAGCAACACACTCGTGTATCAAATTTTGTTTAAAACCTCTAACGCTTATTTAGGTAAGCATATTAGTGTGTACGGTATATGTGTTTGTGTCAGTGCACTCACGAGTGTCTACGCCAGTGCATTCACGAGTGTGTACTCGTCTATATGTACTCACCTATATGTGGTTGCAGGAGACAAATCTCAGCTCCTGGTCCTGCCTCTTTGTTGGCCGCTACTGGGTTCATTCTCCCCTCGAGTCGAAGATCTAATCGTACCTCTTCTTAAAAGTCATGTATGGAATTTGCCTCTACCATTCCTCTGTTCAAGTTATTCCACTTCCTAACCACTCTAAGGCGAAAGAAATACTTTCTAACAGTCCTGTGACTCATCTGGATTTCCAAATACCGGATGTGCCCTTGTGTTCCTGTTTCCCGCCTCACGAAACACTGTCCATTCCTTTAAGAATTATATGTTACCATGTTACCCATAGTCCTTCTTACTTTTAATGTCATCAGATTCAACTCCACCAATCTCTACTCATAAAACAGACTCCCTCAACTGTTTTTTTTAAATATACTTGACCAGGTCTTCCACACTGGTGCTGCATACTTTAATATGGGCGTTTCATATGCCGTGCGCAGTCTCGTGAACGACTCCTTGCTTAGGTGTGTGTATGTACTCACCTAATTGTGGTTGCAGGGGTCGATTCATAGCTCCTGGCCCCGTCTCTTCACTGGTCGTTACTAGGTCCACTCTCTCCCTGCTTCATGAGCTTTATCATACCTCTTCTTAAAGCTATGTATGGATACTGCCTCCACTACATCCAGATTGCTCCACTTCCTGACAACTCTATGGCTGAAGAAATACGTCCTAATATCCCTGTGGCTCGTCTGAGTTCTCAACTTTCAGTTGTGACCCCTATCCACCCTGTCAATTCCTCTCAGTATTTTATGTTACCATGTCCCCCTTATCCATCCTGTCTTCCAGTGTTGTCAGGTTGAATTCCATCAACCTCTCCTCGTAGGACAAACCCCTCAGTTCCGGGACTAGTCTTGTTGAAAACCTTTGCACTTTCTCTAATTTCTTGACGTGTTTGACCATGTGTGGGTTCCAAACTGGTGCTGCATACATCAATATGAGCCTGTCCTTACTTACCAGACGCCCGTATGCTGCAGCAGTTAACCAAATAACTGCTGCTGCTGCTGCTGCGTGTGTGTGTGTGTGTGTGTACTTGCCTACTTGTACTCGCCTCCTCTTTGTGGTTGCAGGGTTCGAATCGCAGCTCCTGGCCCCTCCTCTTCACTGGTCGCTACTAGGTCTACCTCTACTTAAAGCTATGTATGTATCCAGCCTCCAATGCATTACTCTCTAGATTCTTCCACTTCCTGACAACTCTAGTGGTGAAGAAATACTTCCTAACATACCTGCGACTCATCTGAGTTTTCAACTTCCAGTTGTGACCCTTTCTTGCTGTGTCACATCTCTGAAGCATTCTGTACCTGTTGACCATGTCAATTCCTCTCCGTATTTTATACGCCCCTCCTTTCCTCCAGTGTCGTCTGGTTGATTTCCATTAACCTCTTCTCGAAGGACATAACCCCTTAGCCCCGGGACTAGTCTTGTTGCAAACCTTTGATCTTTCTCTAATTTCTTGACGTGCTTGATCAGATGTGGGTTCCATACTGGTGTTCCATACTCCAATATGGGGCTGACATCCACAATGTACAGTGTCTAGCATGACTCGATACGCAGATTTATTTATTATCACACTGGCCGATTCCCACCAAGGCAGGTGGCCCGAAAAAGAAAAACTTTCACCATCATTCACTCCATCACTGTCTTGCCTGAAGGGTGCTTTACACTACAGTTTTTAAACTGCAACATTAACACCCCTCCTTCAGAGTGCAGGCACTGTACTTCCCATCTCCAGGACTCAAGTCCGGCCTGCCGGTTTCCCTGAATCCCTTCATAAATGTTACTTTGCTCACACTCCAACAGCACGTCAAGTATTAAAAACCATTTGTCTCCATTCACTCCTATCAAACACGCTCACGCATGCCTGCTGGAAGTCCAAGCCCCTCGCACACAAAACCTCCTTTACCCCGAGGGGCTTGGACTTCCAGCAGGCATGTCGAAGCGATATTCTATTTGTGGTTGCAAGGGTCGAGTCGCAGCTCCTGCCCGACCTCTTCCCTGGTCGTGTGTGTGTTGGCTACCAGTTGTCAAAGGCCCTTGTAGATAGATACTTTGTAGTGTGTTGTGTGTGTGGGGTGTGTGTGTGTGTGTGTGTGTGTGTGTGTGTATGTGTGTGTGCGCGCGCGCGCGTGTGTGTGTGTACTCATTTGTGGGTGCAAACCTTTGCACTTTACGTGCTTGGCTAGGCGTGGGTTCCAGACTGGTGCCGCATACTCCAATATGGGCCTAACGTACACGGTGTACAGGGTCCTGAACGATTCCTTATTAAGATGTCGGAATGCTGTTCTGAGGTTTGCTAGGCGCCCATATGCTGCAGCAGTTATTTGGTTGATGTGGGCTTCAGATGTGCCTGGTGTTAAACTCACCCCAAGATCTTTTTCCTTGAGTGAGGTTTGTAGTCTCTGGCCCCCTAGACTGTATTCCGTCTGCGGTCTTCTTTGCCTTTCCCCAATCTTCATGACTTTGCACTTGGTGGGGTTGAACTCCAGGAGCCAATTACTGGACCAGGTCTGCAGCCTGTCCAGATCCTTTTGTAGTTCTGCCTGGTTTTCGATCGAATGAATTCTTCTCGTCAACTTCACGTCATCTGCAAACAGGGACACTTCAGAGTCTATTCCTTCCATCATGTTCACAAATACCAGAAACAGCACTGGTCCTAGGACTGACCCCTGTGGGACCCCGCTGGTCACAGGTGCCCACTCTGACACTTCGCCACGTACCATGACTCGCTGCTGTCTTCCTGACAAGTATTCCCTGATCCATTGTAGTGCCTTCCCTGTTATCCCTGCTTGGTCCTCCAGTTTTTGCACTAACCACTTGTGTGGAACTGTGTCAAACACCTTTGCAGTCCAATAAAATGCAATCCACCCACCCCTCTCTCTCTTGTTTTACTGTTGTCAACATGTCATAGAACTCCAGTAGGTTTGTGACACATGATTTCCCATCCCTGAAACCAATTGGTTGTTGTTGATGAGATCATTCCTTTCTAGGTGTTCCACCACTCTTCTGATAATCTTCTCCATGACTTTGCATACTATACAGTCAGTGACACTGGTCTTTAGTTTAGTGCTTCATGTCTGTCTCCTTTTTTGAAGATTGGGACTACATTTGCTGTCTTCCATGCCTCAGGCAATCTCCCTGTTTCGATAGATGTATTGAATATTGTTGTTAGGGGTACACATAGCACCTCTGCTCCCTCTCTCAGGACCCATGGAGACATGTTATCCGGCCTCAATGCCTTTGAGGTATCTAGCTCACTCACAAGCCTCTTCACTTCTTCCTCGGTTGTGTGTACTGTGTCCAGCACTTGGTGATGTGTGTGTGTGTAAGGCGAGAATTTACTTTAACCATCATTATAGGTATTGAAGTACCCTTGACTTGTGATGTACAGGTGACAAGCAGCCTTAATGACCCTCGTGTAGTCGACAAATCCAATACACCAACCAATAATTCGGGTCAGCAAGTGTTTCTTTTACTCTTGAAAAATAATCAATAAAGCACGTAATTTTATCGGCACTTAGGTAATGTACAAAGTGTTTAGCTTTATTAAAGCTTTTAAACCCCTAACTATAATAACAATAATAATAATAATAATAATAATCAGAACTTCAGTAGTTTACAACACAAACCAACATATATTGTCAGGCTATACACCACAAACTCTATTTCCAAGGTTAGCACACTGTGTTGTATCTAAATTTGTTGAAAAAAAAGTTATTGACTTTGACTGCACCTTGGCACATGGGGACGCCTGGCCGGCAGCGCCATCTACAAACACCAGTTAGATGATACATTACCTCGCAGGTCGCCAGTGCCGCTTTTACTCTTATCGAAGAAAGAGCGAGGATAAACTTGATAAATGACTGCCTCCTGCCACCAGGGAACCTTCTTCTTCTTGACTGTTGGTTTAAGTGAAGAAGACAAGTCGTGGTGGGGCGCTAGAGTGCGCTTTTGAGGCGAAGTCATGTCTGTCAGATCCAACCGCAGACAGTATGGCGTCTTAGTCAGGCTTCTCTGTGTACTGCTTGGCAACTCTCCAGATACTGCTCGCCTAGCAACGCTATTCATGTCTTAAAGGAATTTTCATGCATTCCTGTTTGCTGCAATGCTCTATTGTTCTCATGTTCTTGTGCAAATTATGGTTTTCACCATAGTGCATTTCACCACAATCTATCGTCCTGATATCTTGGTGTTTAAAGCTGATAGTTGCTCGTGCAACGTTATTTGCGGGTTATTTGTGTATCGTTCCAGTCACGGTATTGTGCCTTTTTTGTTATTTATGTTAGGTCAGTATTGTGTTCGGTGGGTTCAGTGTGAGAATTATTTCAGGGTTCATGGAACATCAATACTGAGTTTATACCAAAGTTCACGAAGTCAACAACGATTCATATCAGAGTTCACTAGGTCAACAAGAGTTCAGATCATGGTTCACGAGGTAGTCAACAATGTGTTTATTTCAGAGTTGGCAATATAGTCAGCTTGTGTGTGTGTGTGTGTGTGTGTGTTTTATTAAAAATATTTTTTTTAAAATAAATTTATAATATATAATTATATATATAATAGTATAATATATATATAATATAATATATAATTTTAATAATATATAATTATAAATTTTATATATATATTATATTATAAATATATATAATTATAATATAATAATATTTAATATATAATATATGTATAAATATATATATATATATATATATTATAAAATATATATTATATATATTATATATAAAAATTAAAATTTAAATATAAAATTTTTAAATTAATATATATAATATAAATATAATAAAATATAATATAATATATATATAAAAATATAAATATATATATATATAAATAAAAATAATGTTTAAAAATATATATATATAATATATATAAATATATATATTTATAATATAAAAAGAAATATATATATATAATATATATATATATATATATATAAAAAAATATATATATTAAAATATATATATATTAAATATAATTAAAATATTAAAAATTAAAAATATATATATATTATTAAATAATATATAAATATAATAAATATATATAGTAAATATATATATAATATATATATATATATAGTAAAATAATATATATATATATATATATATATATGTATAATATATATATATATAATATATATATATGTAAATAATATATATATATATATATATATATATATATATATATAATGTATAATATATAATATATATTTTATATATAATATATATATTTCTCCCGAATAGGCAAACTTGCATCTTGGTTTAAATAGCAACACTCATCTTGCCATATAGGACAAGTGAAAATTTGTGTATGCAATAATTTCGCCAAAATCATTCTAAACCCTAACAAAAAAATATATTTCACGTGTTTGTTTTAGTATTAA